CAATATCCTTGCATTACTTTTGTTGTGATATAACACTTTAAAAGCTCCCTGGCTGGCAACTGTGGCTGGAGGCAGGGATCCGGTGGGAGCAGCATCGTGCACTGAAATAATATCTGTTTATCTGTTCACTAAAGGATGGCAGGGTTAGAGAGCCTTGGAATGGATTTTTAGGATCATACTGCAATAATACGAGTTCATGCACATGAACACGTGTTCTAACTGAATGGTGAGATTAACATATATTTTATTTTATCATGTATATAGCCCCACAGACGTAGAACTGGTTGATTGTGTCCACACAATTCAAATGCTGTTTAACAGATAGTTACTTAGCATAAAACCATGCTGTGACTTCATTAGCAATTATTCCTCAGATCTATTTTGTTCCAAAGCCCATCTTTTTATTCCTTTATTTTCTTGTGATTTGTTTAAGTATAACAAGGCTGGAAGCAACCTCAAATTTGGAGTCGTCAAGCAGGTCTAACAGGCTGCCTTCTCCTCTGACTGACTCCAGCACAGCATCCCCAGTTCAAGCAAACTACAAAGAACCATGCAGAGCTGGAAACCACCTTACCTTCCTCTCTGTGCAACACCTACTTCCGGTCTCCTGGCCTGTCTAGTGATCTTGCTGGGTGCATTAGCTTGGCTGTTGTGCAGTTTCTTAATTTCCAGCCACCATCCAATCCTATTAGCAAACTGGCCCTGTCAATTATTCCATGTTTTTCTCTGCCCAGAACTATGTGTCTCTTTTTATATCCTGGTGGGTGAGTGCTAGGAATCCTGAATCTCCTGGCTTCAAAGGAACTATATTGACCTGCTGGCTTCAAACTCCAGATCTATATGAGTCTAAGAAAACTTAAGCTGCCCAATATTGAAATACCCACTTAGCTTTGGAAAAAGAATTTGGAACTCAGATCTTTAAGCTCATACTCCTTGTCGTGCTAGGATTGTAAACCCTTGCTGCTTTCATCTGTTTATGCAGTCATTAATAGAGGGGCAGCATAGATCAGCATCCAAGAGAATGGGCTCTGGAGTCACTCTGCCCAAATTCAAACCTGCCTGATATGTACTAATTTGTGGACAAAGGGCAAGTCATTAAATTTGTCTATTCCTCCATTTCATCTGTAAAATGGGCACAATAATGGCACCTCCTTCACAGAGCAGTTGTACAGGTACAGAACATATAACATTATCAGGAACAAAGTAAGCTTTCAATAAAAGTTTGCTACTATCGTTCAATGACTAATTCAATCAAACTTAACAATTATGGATTTGGTACCTAGCACATGCCAGGTAATATTGCAGACACCAGGAATACGAGAGGTGACAAAAGAGGCATCATTGAGCCTCTTCTCTCTACGACTCCACCGACAAAACAGTAACAAATAATCATACAAATACATCTATAAAATAAATTATCCCTAATGTTATTAATAAGAACTAAAGGATTTGAAGTCGAGAGATGGAGAGACAGGCGAGGCTCATGCAGAGATAGATCATGCAGGCCCTGTTTAGCTCACGAAAGTCATGCTAAAAATCCTGGATTTTAAGATTTCCTCTCTTAGCACCTTTCAAATGTATAATACAGTATCGTAAACTGTAGTCACCGTGCTGTACGTTACATGCCCAGTGTGCGATGAGAGAAGTCTTTACGTTTTTAATTACAATGTTTCTGCCACAACATGACATCTGAGTTCCTTCAAACTTTGCATTCTGTAGCATTCATACTAAAATGGCAGCATTCATGGAAAAAAAATGAGATTATATGCAGATCCTCAAAACCTGTGCAATCATCCTGCTGAAAATGTCAGCAAAAACAAACTACTAATAAATAAACATAAAGTTCCATTTTAAGAAAAAGGGAGAAAGTAATTTAAGGGCAAAAATATAAGTAAGGATTAGCCTACTTAAAGAAAGGGAAAGAGGGAAATGCACAAAAAGTGGAAGAACACAGCATGCTGAGATCGATTGTGTGTCCAAAGAGAGCCAAAGAGAAGAGCAGAATGTGGACGAGAGGGAAACGAGGGTTGTGTTTCACACTGATCTCCCCATGGCTCCAGTTAACTTCAGCCTTATTACAGTATTTTGTGTTTAGCTGCTGTTTTTGGTGGTGTGAATCTTTAATGTCCTGGGGAATTAGCTTATCAAACAACATACTTTCCAGGTTATATTCACATTCTTCTCGACTTGCCGATCATTTATGAGCGCACCCCCTCATATTGCAGACACACATTCTAGAGTAACAGAGGGGAATGACATGAGTAGATTAGAATTTCTGAAAGGTTACTATAGTAGGGGATCAAAACTCAAATTTTAGACATCTTTGACTTCAAAGAGGAGAAGATAGCTGAAATCAGACTGGTGGCAGTGATGATGAATACAGCCAGAGGTCCAACATCAAAAATCTCCATTATAATACAAAAAGACACTTGATTAGAGAAATGACCTTAGATGTCAATGCTCTCTAAAATCTGAGTTTTGATACCTCACACCCTGAACAAAGTGGAGCAGAAAAGTGTTATGGAACAAGAAGGCAAAAATACAACCTAGTTACATACAATAGACCAGGTGTGAGAAGTCATTTCCTGCCATCCATCTTTTCCACTCATGTTTGTCTCCCGATCTGTTCTGTATATGCCTGGGCAGGATTGACATGACGATGAGAAGAAACATGGACGAAACGGAAAATTCAAGAAATTAAAACACTTTGGATGTTGATATTTGCAATTTGAACCTGAAAATCAAAGGGGGAAACTGTACACGCTATGTTTATACAAGCTGATTGAAAATCGATGTAAATATTCTCTGATATCCTAAGGATTTTGTCACACAAACATGATACATTTCATGTTAGATATTTGATTTTGAATGTTAAGTATAAATTGTTTAAGCAGAAATCACAGCTGTGGTTTATACTCTGTTGTTTAAATCAGTACTGTTCAATAGAAAATAATGCAAGCCACAAACGCGAACTGCACATAGAATTTTAATTTTCCAGTAACACGTTAAAAAAGTAAAAATAAATAGGTGAAATGAATTTTAAGTATATATTTAATTAATCTAATATATCTACAATATTATCATGTTAACTAGTAATAAATAAATTAATTATGAGATAATTTATATTCTTATTTTTGTGCTAATTCTTTGAAATTTGGTATATAATTTAAAATAATTTGCAATTTGGTATATATAATTAAATAAAGAGCACATTTCAATCTCAAATAGCCAGATTTCAACTAAATAGCCATGTATGGCTAGTGGTTACTGTATTGGACAATGTAGGTCTAAGTTAACTTTTTATGAGTGTTATTTTGCCAGAATGAAAAAATACAATAAAATATATACTACTTCTGTTTTTGTCAGTATCTGACCAATGCATCCCTTCAGACAACAGAAAAAAATGTATCCTGTTCCGTTTCTCTTTTTGGAGTGTCCTTATAGAAAACTTATAGAAATTCTAATCTACTCATGTCATTTCCCTCTGTTACTCTAGAAATAGAAAATTTATATAACTTGAATATTCTCCATCTCATATCTCAAGTATGGTGAATGGCTCCCATGTTAAATGTTTAAATTTGAATATTTGTGAAGAATGCATTATATTGTTTATTATATTATATGTGACTGAACAAGCATTGAACTGAATTGCTGCTGACAGGTTGACAAAATGGCATGTTTTATAGATGTTTGATTAAGCATATATTGGCTTTGATTTTAGTGCTCTTGTTTTGGAAGCATTATATATAATTTCTGGCCTCCAACTCTTTTGACTGTTGGAAACTTCATAGGCTGTGGACATTGTGCCCCTAGTGCCAATTGCATAAAACCACCCGGCTTGAGTCATATTTTCCCCTGCCTGCTTACAGAATTTAGGGTTGCTCTTATTCCTTTAGCTCTCAGGGCAATTGTCACCCACAGCAGGCTTTTGCTAACTTCAGTTTTACCATCAGGATATTCTGTTTGCTTTTTTTCACAGAATTGGTAAATTGCTCTCATTTATTTATTTGTTCGATTGTTTTTTCATTTATTTTCTGTTTCTGATTTTGAGAGAGGAATAGATTGTATATGTTTTCCTATCCACTGTACAGTAGAGGATTTTGCACATCATAAATGCTAAATAAACCATAGATAAGTGAATGCAAAAAAGCTTGTTGTAAGGAAAAGTTTAAAGCCTATTTTATCTAAATATAGAGTAGAGGTTGTCCATCTCATAGGGATCCAAAGTTGCTCTGAGCTGCACACCTTCTACAAAATAATTCCTACATATCTAAGCTACAGAAGTATTTTTTTAATATAAAGCTTATAAAGGCTTATAAAACTATTTTACATTTTATTAATCATTTACATTTCAGTAAGATTATTTACTTTTAGATTTTGCAGCTTATCTTGTTCTTTCCTGGGTGGTCTGATTCTTTCTATTCTCTAACTTTGGGGAATTTTTTTTACTTTTTGAAAAATTATTTTCTTTTTTCCCAAATCTGTTGGTCTCAATCTTGGCCTATTTTGCTCCTCCCAGGGGATATTTGGCAATGTCTGGAGATATTTTTGGTTGTCGTAACTGGGTGTGGGGAAAGAAGCTATCATCTATTGAGTGGAGGAAAGGAATGTTGCTGAAAGTCATGAAATGCACAAGGTAGCTCCCTAGTAACAAACAATTATCCAACCCAAAATGTGAAAAGTGCAACATTGCAAAACCCTGCTTTAACTCAGTTCACATTAAAAATAATGTTCTGTGTTTTAATCTTAAAACGATTAATAAAAAAATTGCTTCTGTTTATGATACACCTTTTTCTTCATTGTAGCTTATTTTTTCAAGTCTATGAAAAACTTAGTTTATCCAAGTTTACGGGTTGAATAGCAGTGACCATTTACCAGTATAATTTTTTCGAGTCTTTCCTCTCTCTTTCTTTAAACGTTGGCAGATATAATGAGAGTTTTGATGACTATCATCATGTAATTCTACCAATTTAATGAATCTTTGTTAATTTGTTTTATAGGTCCCTTTAGATGGAATATAATACAGCCAAAGGCTTTTCATCAAAAGGATTAATGCCTGCATTATCATTTCTGCAATAAAACAGAAAGCTAAGTGGTGGAGGCCACAGACACCTCAAACCTGGATTCCACAATTCTGCATTAAGTGCTGGAGTTTTATTACTCTGCTGTAGGAAAGCCTTTGCCAATGCTTACAAGGAACTGTTTATCCCTGCTTCTCTGGGTCCTGTTTGATGGAGGTCTCCTAACACCACTTCAACCACAGCCACCACAGACTTTAGCCACGGAACCAAGAGAAAATGTTATCCACCTGCCAGGGCGGCGACCACATTTCCAACGAGTTAAACGTGGCTGGGTATGGAATCAGTTTTTTGTGCTGGAGGAATACATGGGCTCCGAGCCTCAGTATGTGGGAAAGGTAATGGCGTGTTTCTTTTGACAACCACTTGATAGCAAGGGGGATTATGCATTGTGTATTGTGTATGGATGTTTTGCACAGGAGTTGAACAAACCAGTGACTAGAACACTGGAATTGAAATCCAAGAGACCTGGTTTCTCTTCCTGACTCAGTGGCCCGGGTAAGCTTTGGAATATCATTTAATCCTTGTTCACTTCAATTCTCCCAGGTTATTTTAGTGAAAGTAATCTATATTTTTGTTCCTACTTTTGATATCCTTTGCTTAAGATATGAAGTTAAAATATGTAAATGTCATTAAAAATGTTATTATAGCACATTATTGCTTACAGACATTCTGAAATTGTTTACCAATAACAGACATAGAAAAGTATTATCTGTTGGTATCCTTGAATGACCATGATGATCTGTACAACATACCATTTGGATTTTGGCTTTGTAGTATTTGACTGGGCTTGCTTATGCTTTAGAAATTATTTATTTATTATATGTTTGGCAAGCTAGTTATGAAACTATTTATGGCCAAAGTAACAAATGTTAGAACCCAAATACATGCACGTCAATCTTCAACACAACACACAATTTGTAAGTCTTATGGCAAGTTTATAGAAATTTTTTTTTCACAAAAATGCTTGTGGACAACTGTCTATTTCAACACATTCATGCTTTACTGCTAATTTCCTTACATAAAATTTATCCATGACACCAGAAAAAATATTTTTCCAAAAAAATGAATATTTTATTTTGATTTCATTTATTCTGTTTATAAATTTTCTAAAAGATTTTGCCATAGTTTTAATAAAAACATATGTGCTTGAAGAGATTTTTAAAATAAATCCAAAGACAGAAATGGAATTAGGAGCCTAATATAGAAGGATAGAAGAGTTAGGAGGCTACTATAGATTATGTCTCTTGAACATTAGAGTTCTCAGAGCTTTCTGGAAGCCTAGATGAGTGAGAAACATGCTGAGTCTTACGGTCGCAATGTTAGGTCAAGGGAAGCAAATCCATTCGATATCTAAATTATTTGCAGTACACTTTTGGAATTTACCTTTTAAAAATGTATTTAAAGAATATTAAATAATACAGTGAAGAGGGTCTTCAAATAGAACCTTTGTTAGAAATGACCACATAGCCAGGGTTGCGCTTAGGTGTATGGGGCCACAGGCAAACATTTTCTGTGGGACAACTACCTACATGTAAAATTTGAGTCACACAAAATCAATTTTTGAGTACCATTCTGGCGGTCTAATTTCTAGTGATTTTGTGAAAAATATGCAGTGCCATTAAGCAGGAGCAATCTCCTTGACAAGCTGCCGAATAGGAATCAGAGCCTGGTCATGTGGCCCTGGGACAACTCCATAGATGCTAGTCCTGGAGTTCCACGGGGTATCTGATGGGCTCAAAAATTGAGTAGAAAGTCAGAGAGAAATGGCTTTAAAGGAGAGAAATGGCTCTGGGCCCAAGCAGTTCTTGCCCAGGGCACCTCACCCAGATAGCATTGCTGCCCACATATAGCCCTGGGAACAAGAGGGGTCTTAGAAAATTTTGAGGAAAGCACTCTAAAGCATGGAAGTTTCCTGATATTACTGTTCATTTCTTCTGCTTATATGATTCCTCCATATGATCGTGGAATATAATAATCACTAAAACATTTCTAAGGTGAACTAATTTCATGTTATTCTGGTACACTTGTTTCTTGTGAATTAATTTAATATAAGGATCAAGTTTTGAAATTCAAGACAACGGAAAGGGTAGCATAGCTCTAAAACTCTGCCTCATTGGTAGCAGTTATTTCATCTCTGCTTAAAACGAAAACTAGACATCACATTGAGGTACCTGGCAAATGTCTGACAAGCAGGTATTCTCTGGTTTTGATTGAAGCGGATCCATAGCCTTTATTTGTCCAAATTTGATGTGAGAAAGTTGACATTTGGTTGAATGTTTTTTTTTAAAGATTGGTACCTGAGCTAACACCTGTTGACAATCTTTTTTCTTCTTCTTGTTCTTCTTCTCCCCAAAGCCCACCAGTACCTAGTTGTATTTTCTAGCTGCAGGTCCTTTTAGTTGTGGTATGTGGGACGCTGACTCAGCATGCCTTGATGAGAGGTGCTAGATTGTGCCCAGGATCTGAACTGGCGAAAACCTGGGCCGCTGAAGTGAGCGTATAAATTTAACCACTCGGCCACGGCCCAGCCCCTTGGCTGAAGAATTAATGAAACTGACTAGAGTAATAAGTAAACAGGGTCTAGGAGTTATTTATGCAAGTTTTGTTTGATACTCCGGAATTCTATCTTTATAATTGCTACAATAGTATGGAATTCATCCAATTCACTTAAAAGATGAATTATTATTTACAAATAGATTAAAAGGGAGTAATTCTAAGATCCAACTTATTATTAAATTAAATATTATTTTCACAGGTACATGGCTCCACATTTGTAATATGTAATGAAAACCCATGGTTCTCTGGTAATGTACATTGCAAATGAAACAACAGTTCCAAAATTTTCTTTCTACATGGAAACTAATTAAAGTTTAATAAACTCTGTCTTGATCATTCTAGATAACATTGGGACCAATTCAAGCCATTACATGTGTGTGTGTAAACACATATAGATGTATTTATGCTCCTGCTCTTTCTAGAAAGGCTTTGACACAGTTTATAGAAAAGTAAAGATTTATAAATAAAATAGAACTCAGGGCTAAAAATGAAGGGCAAATTCAAATGTACCAACACAATGGTCAACTGAACCACTATAATTGAATTTCAGATTTAACTCTGTTTCTTTGCAGCAAGAGCATCTATAGAAAACATTAATTCGAATAGTTCCCATTATTGAAAGCTCCACTTATTGAGAAGAAAAATCAATTCCCCTATTTTAAATATAAAAGAATCTAAAAGAATTTCTTCATTTAGAAATTTATGGCAGGCGAGGTGGAGGAGGGTGTCACTTGAGTGGCTTAGTGGACATCAGCATCAACAATTGTTATATTTAAAAGGAGCATACGTTAATGTTGACATCCTTTCAAGAAAGACCAAACTGTGACATTGCTTATAATGAATGTTACTTTACTTTATATACAAAGCAATCACAGGAGTGTCCAGAGGTAAGGCCAATGCTTTCTTCAAACACACATTTTGGATTTACTACAGTACCTGGATAAGTATAAGGTGCCATATTACAGAGTAACATGGAAATTAATTTGATAGGCAAAAATTTTTAATTCAGATGCTATCAATGCTCAAGTTCACCATAAAAAAGTATTATTAAAGACACGTACACACACAGTAAGTTGGATGCATATACTAACATGTATAACTGGGTGCTTCTGTCTGTGTAGTACTAAGTTATGTCAGGCTCAAAGGTCTGTATCAAGAAAATGCTGCCCATTTTATCCTCAAAGAATAATTTAGAAAATTGAGTTGTCATTTTAGATGACCTTTGTTAGCAGCAATTTTTAAATCTAAATTGTTTAATATGGCAAAAATATTAAAAGTGGAAACATATATAAGCACTAATTTCAGAGGCATTCACTTGTTCATCATATTTTTAACTGAGAATGCATTACAATTTGAGGAAGTGTTAAGTCTTGTGGGGGTAAATTTAAGTATGAAGATCCCTAGATTGCAATTATAATAGGTAAGCTGTATTGAGTGCTTCTTTGAGCACTGTTTTAATCGCTTTGTATACATAAACTAATGTAATCTTCACAGCAGCACTATGAGGAAGATTATCAGTAACCCCATTTTACATATCAGAAAACTGAGGCACAGAAAGGTTAAGTAACTTCCCTATGGCCATCACCCAGTAAATGCTAAAACTAGGATTTTAAGCCAAGTAATTTAAATCCATTGCACCAGAAAATATCATAGTTTACCTTATAAGGATCTTAAGAGCTAATAATATTTTCAATAGTCTGTCAAGAGTACTGTAACGGAGACCCTATAAGGGACAGTGGAGACAAAGGAAGGTCTATGACTTGTCTAGAAGATGGAGGAATTCAAGAAAGTCTTCACAGAGGAGGAAGCACCTGAGATGAGTCTTGAAGGATGAATTTATCTTTTCAGAAGAGAAAGTCTGAGGAAAAGTTTTTATAAGCACTGAGGCTTGAAAGTTCAAAGTGAGCCTAGATAAGCATATTTCAATATAGTCAGAGAGTGTGAAGCCAGCTGTTTAGAATATGTAAATACAGAAAGTGTGGAGAGCCACAAGTCCGATACCAAGATCAGTATTATTTGCTCTTATTGTCTTACTTATTTATCTATTTATTTTTGATGGAGGTATAATTGATATATAACATTATATTAGTTTCAGGTGTACAACATAATGATTCAACATTTGTATATATTGCAAAATGATCACTCCAATAAATATAGTCATCCTCCATCACCATACGTAGCTATAATTTTCTTTCTTGAGATGAAGACTCCTAAGATTTACTCTCTTAGCAATTTTCAAATACGCAATATGGCGTTATTAACAATAATCCCCATGCTGTACATTAACTATTACTTGTTCTTAAAGGTGTCAAGATCTACAAAATGTCTTGGTTGAGGATTCCTATGGACAGAATTGCGGTTCTAGAATGAGCACTCAGAGAGCCATTTAAAGGACTCATTGGAGGCAGAGCAACAGGCATGGAGACAGAGAACATATTCAGGAGAAGGTTACAGTAGGCATGTTAAGAAGTAATAAAGGAGATGGGATATTACAGTTGAAGATGTGAAAGGCAGTGGCAGGATAATCAAAGACTTAAAGATCCATTGGTCATGGGAATATAAAGATGACACAAAAAAATTAGTGGAAAGATGTATGTAAAGAATGAAAGAGAGGGAGAAATTTTAAAAAAATGCCGCAGATTTCTGACTTTGATTTTACTAGTATCCTATATGGGTTTTGCTCTAGAGTAAGAAATAGAATCATCACTGTTAGACATTATATATCTACTTAGGCACTTAGAAGTATGCAGGTAGAGTATCTCAGATATTTAGATATGTT